TTTATCGGCGTAGGTGATTGAATCCAATGCCCCGGTTCAAATTCCAACCTCCGCAGCCCGTTGCGTTGATTTAAAAAATCTGACCTTTTGAAAGACATGGATGTGTTTCTGTTATGGTCCGGTTCCTTGTACCACGGTGATAGTCCAAGGTAGAACCAATAAAGAAGAACTCAAATACGGATATGGAATAACACAGATATATTACAAACAGGAATATATACAGAGAGGTAGAAAAATGTTAGTACGAACAATCAGGTTTAGTAGTAATTGTCTGAACACGACTCTGTTTCGGACTGCCTCTGACTCGACTGACTGACTCGCTCGCTCTGACTGACTGGCAGACTCCTGACAGATTTCACTCCAGACTTCAGACTGAACTCCAGACTTCAGACGGAACTCTCTGCTTCCTCTTGAGGCGCAGTATTTATTACGTATGGAATAGTCCATTATGTTATTATGAGTAAGGTCCCATAACACTTTTCTCAACCCTCTTTTAGTGGTAGAAACATAAACAACTTTAAAAAAAAAAGAGAGCTGAATTGTAAATTTAATCTACCTGACAAATCATGAGGTATCGATGTTGCATAAACCCATTACTCACCAATTTGATGAAGATGCATATACTGTTTTTTTTTTTTTATGTACCGTATTATTTCAGGACCTGAACCGTCATGGCTGTTCACAACTTCACAAAAGCAGTGAGGGACTAGAAAATAAATCAATCACGAAGGCGATTGCCTTAAATATATCAAAAGCCTTTGATAATAAGTGACATATGGAGTTGCTACGTAAGCTTTCCAGCTATGGAATATCTGGAAAAAATTTTCTCGAATATAAAATCATTCCTATAAGATAAGTCCATTAAGGTCGGTGTAAATAGTCAGTTTTCTAAACCTCGTGTGGTCAATACAGGCGTCCCGCAGCGTTCTCTACGCGGCGCTACCCAAATTCTGATTTATATTAACGATCTGTAGTCAGGTATCTAGAAAATATTTATGCGGATATGTCTGGGTGAACCTTCGAAGATCGAAATGACCAGAAGCATGATAGCTCATCGTTCTTCAGTCCGAGCTCTGATGGCTTACTCGCAGAAGTACTAGCTCATAACCTTCGATATCGCCAAAGCTTAACAATTAACGATCCACAATCAGCGTGTATACCCTGACCTTTGCAGCTCTCATGATGAATGTTTGTTCCCTCAAGGAGGACGCTTGGTTTGAATGGACTCTAGGGACACAAGTGCACCCCACACCTCGAGGAGAGTTCATTTAAAAACCATCGTTAAAGATATTGTAAAATATTGTCGGTTTCTTGCAACGATTCAGTAAGCAGATATTTCCGTTTGGTTTACTATAAATTTGTTAGAAGGAGATCTGACCAAACACGGATTTATTGGTGCCATAATCGTGTAGCAGCTGTCCAGTCCTCTGTTTTCCCGCCTCGACAGAGTTCAGAAGCAACTTCCAGACATTGAGCTTGAGGAGAAATTTTCTACGCTACATAAGACAACATCTCGTAAAACTATCCCTACTCTATTAATATTTCTATGACAAATGTTCAGACAAGATACTTACCTTATTCCCACCAGTAATAATCTCCACAGCTAAAACCCATAATGCAACGTATACTGAAACGAATCATCCCCATTTGCTTCGTATTACACGAGTAAGAAGGAAGTTCCGTTCGGACCTCTTCTTCCTGGAAAAGATTTCTGCGTGTTTATATTACCAATCCGTAAAATCTTCAAGTCTCGCGTTAACCGATAACTTTCCTACATAAACTGTTTTAATCGCCTAATGTTCTTACGGGCGACAACCTCAGTAAGTAATTCATATCTTGAGCGGTTTATCGATCTTATATAGGGTGAACAGATAGTAAAAATAAAATTCCTATTCGTCATAATTTTAATTAATGTTTAGCCAGTTCTATTGTTACCGGCCTGTTGTTCTTTCACACAAACTTTTTTTAAGTAGTACAATGTCATGTGTGGATTAAATTATCCAAGCACTCTTTCCTCATTAGGCGTTCCAGAACTATCACTTGTCTCTTTCTGATTCTAAGTATAAATGTTTGTTTCGTTTCTGTATCCGTTCACTTGTTCATTACATCTTCTCAGCATCCTTCTTTAGGACCGCATCTTTGTCATCCACCGAGAAATACTGAATAACATACAGTATTATTATATGACTTACAGTATTGGCTTATTTCGTCACATTCATTTAAACACACTAGCACATACATAGAATTATTTTTACTGAGTTCACCCCATGCAAAGCATTATAGCCACTAAGAGAAAAGGGGTTACTGGCTGTGAAAGAATTAAAAACAGAAACATTACTAATCAGTGAGAATAAAAAGGGCAATTAGTAGATAACGATTGGCCTTGCAATTGAATTTTCGAAGAACGAAGTCGACTGGAAAAAACGGAGCCTGAAGGGAATTCCACAAGTGAGAAATGCGTGGAAATAACCTTTTTTTTGTTGTTGTTTGGTACCCAATTGTTTCGTTACGATTAAAATTTACGGATGCATCTACCCAACCCAGCTGCAAATTGATCAGATCTGGACGCCTGTCTAGAACTGCGTTTAATTTTTTTTTTAAATCTAGGTACTATAGAAAAGGGTTCATCCGAACAATGGCAGTGAACGTATTTCTAGAAAAGGGAGCGAAAGTTAACCTTCAGGCAATGGGAAAGTGATTGAAGCCGAGATGACAGATCAATGTCAATAATATTGTTGATTCTTCTTTGGATTTTATCAAGGAACTCAAGATAAATAGCAGGGCATCGGATAATAAGCGGTAGCAATATCCTAAGCATGGACGAATAGCAGACTTATAGACACGTGGGATAGTTTCTGGAGAGAAAACAGGTCTCTCATGACAGAGTGAGACAATTTTCTTAGCGGCTTACACCCCATATATATATATATATATATATATATATATATATATATATATATATATATATATATTTCAAAATATGATTCCAACACGCTACATAAGAGTTCTCATGCTTCAAAACAAGAGCCGAAAACTTCAATATAATTATTTGAATTAAATTGAATTAAAATACTAAGCTCTATTCCATCTTCAAGTGAAATTTTTTTGGAATAACTTCTTTCTGAAATTTACGCGTTTTATAAGCATGTTCATTATTGAAATCAAAATTTCTGTGGTAACGGCTAGAGCAATTGTTTAAAGAAAAGGGGCGTAAGGTGTTAATAATTTGTATCAATATCTCAGTTACATTCACAGATGTTTATATCACGGTAAGGTTGGGTTGTCTAAATTTAAAGCGGAAGATGGCATCGTCTAGTCTGGTTAAGTGTCTATGGGGATTTATTTATTTTTTTATTTTATTTTTTTCTGAAAGGGTTTTGTGTATATAAAAACTAGAGTAAGTCGCTAACATTTGTTTTTTGACGACTTCATATATTTTCTATATATTTTTCACACACACACACACACACACACACACACACACACACACACACTAAAGCGTGAAACCCAGGGCCACAAACTCATCTATCCAACCAAATATATATATATATATATATATATATATATATATATATATATATATATATATACTTTGCCAGACTTTATATATGCGCCTGAGAATTTTTCAGCGTAGGCTTATGGAAACGCTAACATAATACGCAATGAATTCTTCCTTCACTATCAAGTCATATTTAATAAACCAAAAGTCATTTATACTGAACGCCACTGACAAATGATGTCCTTTTAACACTAGCAGCTTTCTACCTGCCAACGTTTTACTAAACAATAGGAAGAGTTAATAATTAATTGTGTTTACTTCTGGATTATATTCCTTACACTCTAGATTCGGGCAGTTTCAGCACCTTACAGCAAAATATGTCTGTAGCAGATATCATAAAATCTGCAATACCGTTTCTAAAAGTAATCTAAATATTTATGCTCTCATTTCTCAGTATGGAAAGGGGAACTCATACGTACAATAGAGCATCTGAAGCATCAACCTGAACTCATACAAACAATCCCTCTTTTCAGATCCCAAGTTAAACTCATACATACAATCCGTCATATCAGAATTCAACTGAAAGTCATACATACAATCCATCGATAAAGACGGTGAAAAAATGGCCGACATTTTATACGGATCCCAAAGGAAACCTGTTATTACAAAAGTCAGATCAGAACGAAATTGCTACCTTATCTGATCCGGAGCTGCCTAATACTCACATTCCAACATCGAGAGTGTTTTAAATCTTTTTTTTTTTTTAAATTAAGCAGACATGTGGACGATTTTCTACCATACAACATCCTTTTCCACAGACACAGCACCGCAAGCCTATTATAATCTATCGGTATATCGTGGACGGTTAAGAGGAGCTGCATTCCTTAAATCCATCAGATCATAGCATTATATGTAAGATACGACAGGCCATGTAGACAGAGACAAGTTATCCTAGCCCTCTTCGAATTTCATTGGTAAGTATTCAGTTCAGTTCGGCAACATTTTCCCCGAGTGTCACTGTTGTGTGTAACAGATTCCAAGACAACGATAATCATAACCACTCCAAGACTTGGATCAACCGCTATCTATCCTATATATATTCACAAATTACAATTCATATGTATATACAACAAAACCTTCAGCTATTCTTTAGGCTTATATCGGTTGAATAATACCGTAATAAAGTGGATTTTTTACAATGATGATCACCCTATAAAAGACTGGAGAGCTACTCGAGGTAGAGGGTCACGAAGTTAAAGGCACATTTTATGCGGATATGTGGGGAAGATAACGGTTAATTCTAGAATTGAACAGATTAAGATAGTAGTTGTCGTGGAAGTATCTTATTGGGAGTCGGTTCCACAAAACAGCGATAAGATACAACTCCGGTTGTGCTGGTCGAGTTCTCTGCGGAGAGGAACCCAGAGTAGGCTTTTCCGAATGTATATTTATTAATATTTATCTCTTTCTCAAATTTTTTCAAATAACTGAATTTTCATATCTAGTTAGCAAAAGATAGATAGATAGATACATAGATAGATAGATAGATAGATAGATAGATAGATAGATACGAGCAGACATAGATAGAGAGATAAATATGAGCCGACATAGATAGATAATTGGATACATAGATAGATAGATAGATACATACATACATAGATAGATAGATAGATAGATAGATAGATAGATAGATACATAAAAATGAGCATACATAGATAGATAGATAAATAGATAGATACATAGATAGATAGATAGATAGATAGATGCAGCCAGATAGATAGATATGAGCATAGATAGATAGATAGATAGATAGATAGATAGATAGATAGATAGATAGATAGATAGATAGATAGATAGATAGATAGATAATTGGATAGATATTAGCATACATATAAATGAGATAGATAGATAATTGGATAGATAGATAGATACATACATACATACATAATGAGACATAGATAGATAGATAAATATGATAGATAGATAATTGATACATAGATAGATAGATAGATACGACATACAGACATACATAAAAATGAGATAGATAAATAGATAGATAGATATAGATGAGATAATTGGATACATAGATAGAGAGATAAATATATAGATAGATACATATAGATACATACATACATACATAAAAATGAGCATAGATAGATAGATAGATAGATAGATAGATAGATAGATAGATAGATAGATAGATAGATAGATATGAGCAGACATAGATAGAGAGATAAATATGAGCCGACATAGATAGATAGATCGATAGATAGATAGATAGATAGATAGATAGATAGATAGATAGATAGATAGATATTAGCCGATATAGATCGATAGATAGATAATTGGATAGATAGATACATACATACATACATACAAATGAGCATAGATAGATAGATAGATAGATAGATAGATAGATAGAGGTAAATATTAGCCGACATAGATAGATAATTGGATAGATAGATAGATACATACATACATACAGACATACATACATACAAATGAGCATAGATAGATAGATAGATAGATAGATAGATAGATAGATAGATAGATAGATAGATAGAAGCAGACATAGATAGAGGGATAAATATGAGCCGACATAGATAGATAGATAGATAGATAGATACATACATACATACATACATACATACATACATATGAGCATAGATAGATAGATAGATAGATCCAGTAGCTTTTATGACATTTTCAAGTATTGATAGCGATTTCCTTCCTCCGCTTTTGTTTGGAGTATTGTGAAATATGATCATCTGAATTTTGTCATTATTTTCTCTTCTTATTTCAAATTGCTATCTATTTGAGTTATTGCTGTTGTTAGTCCTCCGTTGATAGAGTTTCTATTTGCTGCAGTTCGTGATTATGTAGCGCCAGTCCACAACAACCAAAGAAGGGTTATCATTGCCAAAGTCTTCAGGATCCACCCACTCATATTATTTTACAATAAGAGAACATGTTTCAGGATGACAGGTGAGGAAAATTGACGTTGCATTTATATTTTTGAAGATTGTATGTGTCAGAGAAAGAAGATACCTGACATGATTTCAGCATGTGACAAGTACAAGAAAATAAATTATTAGAATGGAACTTACTGTTGCATTTAACTATTTCAAAAGCAAAACAATGAGACCTCGTTGTTGTCATTCTAATAGTATGTTTTAATTCATGCGGGGGTTACACACTTTTCTAATTATCCAGGAACGGATGAGATATATTTGGATATAAAAAATTGGAATTGTACGTGGAGCTAAAATCAATTTCTTAAAGATAATTGATACGCAGGCTAATTATTTCAGACATCTCCTCTGTCAATATTATTCTCCAAAAAAATTACGAGATATATGCAAATGATATAGTTTAGAAATGGATCAGTTCATCGGTCATGAAGTTGGCTATGCAGATATCACTTAAAAAGTGATATGGAATCCATAAACTTAATGAGGCTGCCATGACGGTGGACAACAAACTAGAGTAAACAATATCGTAAGAAAGAGGATTTTTTTACACGATGAGTTCCCTTATAAAAGGCCCGAGAGCCACTCGTGGTAGACAGTTACGGAGTAACAGGCATATTTTATGCGGATATGTGTAGAAGATAATGGTTACCCCTATGTTCTGGGGCCCCTTCTGTTTACCTCGGAGTTCTTCACAAGATCCAGAGGTGGATATGCAATATAATTGGCCCTGATCTGGCATATTGTCTACAGTCACTCTCTCACAGAGGCGCCGACGCCTCTCTCTGCCTTTTCTACAAATACTTACATGGTAGTTGCTCCGATGAGCTGCTTTCACTGGTTCCCAGACTCCATGAATTCAAGCGCCCTACGAGGCTGACATCCCACTCCCACCCTTACACTGTAGAAACTTTTAAATGTAGCCGTCTCTTCTACTCCAGTAGCTTCATACCTCGCACCTCTCGCCTGTGGAACACTCTTCCCTATTACTGTTTCCCTGAGAGCTATAATCTCCAACTATTCAAATGTAATGTCAATCGACATCTCCAGTTACCTTGATCTATCAACTATCCTTCTCCTCATCCTTTCTTCTATCACTCCTATCTGATCTTGCTCCAATTCTTCTGCAACCCCCTGCATCCAAGTGGCTTCACGCCTTGCTCGGGGCGTAATGCTTAAAAAAAATGCTTCCAAGACAAGTACAATCGTGACCACACCAAGACTTGATTCAACCATTATCTATTCTACATATCTTCATAAGTTACAGTTTGTACGTACATAAAACAACTCGGTTCAGCTGTTTTTGAGGACTGTATCGGTTGAACAATATCTTAAAAAAATGTTTTTGGTTTTTTTTTGTTTTTTTTTTTACAATGATGGTCACCCTGTAGAAGGCCCAAGAGCCACACGTGGTAGAGGGTTACGGAATAACAGGCACAGTTTATGTGGATTTGCAGAGAAGATAACGGTTATTCCAAGACTTAAATCACATTAAACGAATGGAGTATGCCGGTTTAAAAAAACAAAACAAAAAAAAACTCTTGTTTCTGAATAATATGCCACTTAAAAATATTCTATTTATCAAAACGACGGAAAATTTAAAGTACTAAATCAACTGCGTATGTTAATTTTCTAAGTGTAGCTTAGATGTGATACAAGACCGAATGTGTGGAGCATCCTGTAATGATCGAACTCTCTATTTAGTCGTAAAATGATCTAGCGCCCCTTTCTTGATAACGATTACACCACGTCGGTGTGCTCTAAATCTGCTAGGTATGGAGGATGTTTAAGAACCTACTGTCTTAACGATCATATTTTCTTTTCAGAGTGAACAATTGCATTGATACACTGAAGAATAATTCCATTTTCTGTTTGTCAAACTTCTGTTGTAAAATACAGCAAGGGTAGTGTTTAGATTGTGGAGAAACACATAAAAGTTTGCCGACCTAAGAACTACAGCGTTAACATGAAGAGAAGAGAAAGACACGGGAAAAATTTAAAAAAGAAACTGCTCTCAGAAACCACAGCACGGCAGGCAGCAAGCAATTATAGGGGCAGAAATGTTCAATATAACGATTCACATGACAACAAGTCTCGCCAACTCTCCAACTGTTGGTTTTCCCGTCGCTTTTATTGCCAACATACAGCTGACGAAAACCCGAATCTGAACAAAATACAGAGAGGTCCTTATCTAGACGTGCCATACGTCCTGCTAATGAGTCACAGATATAGCACGAAACGGCCGTCTAGTGCTTTCTGCATTCTGTTGAGGCTTCTTCTAGACTCGATGAATTACATATGATTATCTTAAATCCCCCCCGCCAATAATTTCTCTCACTTGTATATCCTTGCTTGAACCGGCTTATAATGCTCTGAACGGAGCGTGCAGATCGTGGGGGGGGGGGCACAGTACCATGGGTAAGGGAAACTCGGATGAGTTCCACAACAGAATATGTGATCGAGCGTCGCTATATCGAGTCTAATTCATTACATCTCCATCACCGAGGATCGTTGGTACAATTGGTATGACGTTTGTCTGGGTTTCAATTCTCGGTTACGGATGCTCACTGCTGATGAGTCCCAAATATAGGACGAAACGGCCGTCCAGTGCTTTGTTCTCCAAACACACCTCCTCACTTTTGCAATTCAGTGTTTTTTTTCCGCTTTCAGCCTAGTTAAAGTGGCCTGGCTAACTCTACTATTTAAGCATTGCTAGGAATAGATGAAGAGATGATTCCTTTCCTTTCCCATGTAGTCGCTGAATTTAAAGAACTGAACAGAACTTCAAAATCGGATCAAATTCGACCTGTATATAATAATAATAATAATAATAATAATAATAATGGACTCTCCTGTCGGTTTCGACGTATGAGGATCTGACAGCTTATTGATTCAGTTATGAAATTTTATGCGATAATCTTAAGTGGCATTTAATACCCGCTAGTGATTTAATATGGAGGCCACATATGGAGCAAGTGTGAGGATTGTGCGATGTGATCACTGTTAGATTGGTTGACCTTTTAGATCTTGCTCTCGCTGCTTGATGATTCAGACAAGCAGATTGAAAATTGCTGAGTTCACTAAAACATGTTTGTCTGCATTCTACCCACTCCAAAGCTAAGCGCTCAAGGATGTTATGTTGTATATTGATTGCTGACAAGTTGCTTTTCAGCTAGTCTTTGTATCTTAGCCATGGGCGTCCTACATCCCTGTAGCCCTGATATAACTGACTGTACATTAGCATCTTGGGTATTTTGTCATCAGACATTCTCAAGACATGACCAGTCCACCGGAACTGAGACTTTATAATAAAAGTCTCGATTCCTCCAATATAAACCCGAATTTTCGTATCCAGTTGAATACCCCGCTCATTCCACAAGCGATGGCGAAATTTGCCGAAAGCACTGGTAGCCTTAGCAATCCGATGCATGATTTCATCATCTAAAGTTCCACTGTAATTGACTTTGCTACCAAGATAGGTGAAAGACTTTACATAGTTCAGGGGTTTGTCTTCTACTTTCAATGGTCTCTCTGGAAATTTGGAAATATATATATATATATATATATATATAAGTAGCAACAGAGGTCAATACCGTATGATAATACTTTCATAGTATAGAATAGTGCGTTCAAATATGAAAAAAAATTGTAGAGATGTTTCCAGGTTGCATTCTCAGATTTTCATTCAGAAGCCTGCCTTCTCTTAGACCGAATGCTACCAAAAAACAGGAATGCCTTCCTTCTCTGTTCTTAACACGTATTGCACTGTAGAAGAATGGGTTCATGCCTCTTCCAAATGCTGATTGGCTGGAATTTTAATTAGATATGCTCATTCTGCTTATCATGCTAATTGCTATAATGCCATCCACACATTCGTACAATTATATCCTCTTCGTCGTTCGTATCATTATAGTATTGTATGTGTGATTTATAAGAAGATAAGACAGGATTAAATGCTAGGGAACAAAAACCCAAAGGGTTTAATATCCTGCCATACGTTGTTGGAAATATATCATATTTCTAAAATACAATACATTTTATAGGGTCACTCGAGGATCACTAATCACGGAGACTGACTGATCGGATCTACCAGAAAGGATGTGGCGAGATGAAGAGTAATTTCATTTGACCGTGAATTAACGAATCGGCAATTAGTGAGAAGACGAGGAGCTGTCTCTGAAAAGAAGATTTTCAATGAGAATGCGTCTGTCTTAGCAAAAACAAGCGACTCGAAACCGTTAGATAGTAACGAGCAAAAGAAGTGACCTGCCATCTCTCTCTCTTTTTCATTCGCCCTCTCTCTCTCTCTCTCTCTCTCTCTCTCTCTCTCTGCCATAATCCTTATCTTGACAAGTATTCGGTACGCCAACCCCTACAAAGGGTAATAAAGTGGCGAATTTAATTTTCAGCAAGAAGCAGACAGTCCAACTTTGGATACATTGAAAGATCGTAGGAACTAAGTTTATGACGCAATAGACTCGGCCTCCCTACACAACAAGATCAAGATCAATAAACAGCTTTTGGAGACATATAACCAACAAGCAGTATTACCCGTCGTTGATCGGGTCTTTCATTACTGTGAATTTTTGCCGTTCAATTGGAGCAGTTTAAGGTCTGCCCACCCGAAAATCAATATTAGTAACAACATTTGGGTGCAACT